GCTGCAATGGAAGCGCTCTGCCCCCCGTTGGCTATACTGCTATACAATGAAACCACTGGAAGCGGCTCTAGTTCTGGTGGAGGAGGCTTATTGGATAGCGCAAGATAAGGTGTTTATTATGTTGTACCTTTTGACTAAAGTTTTCATATGTATTGTATAATGAACAAGAATCCTCGAAACCGAATCACCGAAAAGATCAAAACCATTGAAAATGGCTTGCTCTGTGGCAAACCTTTGCCGAAACGTCCTCCAGTGAAACGTCCTTCGGTGAAATATCCCGCTCCCCTAATTTTCGTAAACATTTCAAACACAATTCGGAAACCCGGATTACAACCAATCGTCCCAAAATTTGCACAGTTGTTTGGGACCCCAAATGGAACCTTAAAAAGGTTTTCTCACGCTTGATGAGGTCAAGTTTACGTTTTTCTCGTTACCCACCCTAGTCTACATGGTAAATTAATCTGACTCATATTTGAATCTCGTTCACTCAAATTCACAAAACAAAACTGCACAACATGCTCTATGATGGCATTAACATTTTTCACCGATGCCAGTAAGATCATTTATTTTTCATGGTTGCTAAAATAATGTTTTCTGGCTCCGTTTATCTATGGAACCTATAATATCTATAGTAGATCCTTCTCAAATTTGGGTTGGCTGGAAATAGCGTGTGTACCGTTTCGATCAGTCCTTTCACGCAAAGATTAATATTTTGCCTATGGGATTTTCTAGAGAAGTGAAAGGATAAGAAACGATCCGGTATGTGTCACAAAATTCGAAATTTGCTTATGGAGTTTTCCTATAAGAACAATGAGCAGTTGCAGAGTGATCGTCAACACGAATGGTTTCACCAATACCAAAACAAAGTTGTCAAATGAAGTTCGTATGCCATAATTAGGAACACGTCTCAAAATTACCTTCCCAATGTTCGGCCCATAGCGATAAAGCGCAAAAGCGTTAAATCTTCTACAGCTACGATTAGAGTGAAAAGTGTGACATTGATATATTAGGCTAGCAAGTTACAAAAAGTTAAGTCTTTCAATTCATGAAATTATCAGTGTGGATTTTCGTTAATGCAATAATGCGGCAAGATCATGGTGCTTAGAAATCGAAAAATATGAAAATAATAAGTGCTCTAAATTTGTCCCAAAAATAGGCAATTCATGTACGGATTACAATTTCACAGCACATGTGGTATTAGTTTTTCATTGCTATTATGAATTATTGTTGAATTAATGAATTAATTGCTTGATAGGCTCAAAACCAGTGGAAAACACTGTTTTTTTCCCCTTGATTTGTTTTCCGTCGATCTTGTTTTTCCGTCCTGAGCACCAATGCTACCGACGCCAGGGAGGCAGCTCTCAGACCTGGACCCTACATATCGACTCTTCAACTCATGAACCGGGCACCAACGGCTTTACTTCCGGCGTGATCAGAGATGTTATGCCTCAGAACATCCCGGTGGCGCCGACTGGGATTGAACCCAGGCCTGCTGGGATGAAAGGTAATCACGTTTAACACTACACCACCGGTGCCGCTAGGAAAACACTGTTGTCTTTAGATTTTCGATATATAGTTCAAAATTTTTTTTCAAATTTGCAAAATTGCAAAAATTAATTATCACCGATGAAATATTTTAAAACGCACAGATTTTTAGACTAGAGGTCTCAAACTATGATCTTACGGAAGACATTTTTAGGTACATTAACTTTTTTTAAATGTTCTTCTTGTACCTGAAGTTCTACAAAGATCCCTGAAGTAAAAATAACTTTGAACATCAAAGAAGTTCTTCCCATTTCAACAAAATTCGTTCGCTAAATTTGCACTAATTTCGATGTAGTTCTACAAAGATTGTTTTCTTGGTTTGGGTTTCAAAATACCTTATTACGTTGTTTTTCCTTTCAATTCTACTAATATTGTACCATTTTCAATATTTACTTTCACTATCACTTAAAAAAACTACAACAGATACGTATTTCGTTTACTTTCAGAAGTAAAATAAAGTGTTTCTACTCTCCGTCATTTTGAAGATCTCTGAACATCTATAAAAAATTCCCTCCACTTTTATTGTTGCGTAATTTGATAAACTTTTGCAAAGATTGCTTCACTACTATGCAGTTCACTGCATTCAGGAAGTTTCCTGATTTTTAAAATATTTTGATGATTTTCTACGATGCTCCCTCAAGTTCTACAAAGTTTCCTGAACTATTTCGTAGATTGCTGAGCTATTTCAAGTTCGTTAACTGCAACAAACTGCCCTGGCCTGAAGTTAGAAGAAGGTACTCTAACTTTTATACATTAACAAATTGCTCTAAACCCTTAAGAAGTTTCAGAAAGTTCTACAAAGTTACCTGAAGTTCCTTGAAGATCTAAAAATTTTCCTGGACTTTAACGAAGTTCTCTGAAATTAAATGATGTATTCGTGACTTCTACGAGATTGCTTCAAATTTTCCTGAGCTCAGATCCAGAGACTCAGATTTATTAATTTGAAATACTGAACACACTCGCGATTGATTTTTTTTTTAAATAGTTTATCGATCTCGCTGAAGATTTTTTTTTAACACGTGGCATCAATGTCCTACACAGTAGTCGAACATAATCAAGGGCGGACAGAAGCAAAGTAGCAGCAACGAAAAGGAAATTCGGATTGTTAAGGAGCTCAAAAATAAAGCAGTAAATTATGTGAAAGCAGACAAGGGCAACGCGGTCGTTATCATGGACAAGGACGATTACGACAATCGAGTAGACCCCTTACAGAACATGGTGAAACACGTGGAGAAAACACTGAAGAAGTGCAAATCAATATTAGGAGAAGGAGCAAGTCGTTTACGGGAATCCAATCCCATTCTACCCAGGATCAAAGGTCTCCCCAAAGTCCACAAATCGGGGAATGAAATGCGAGAAATCGTGACTTCCGTGGTTCCCCTACCCAAAAACTAGCGAAATGGCTAGTCACAGAGTTCCAGATGGCATACGCTGTACTCAGTTCCAGAGTAAGGCAGTTAGTAGCACTCAGGAGTTCGCCCAGCAATTACAATCTTCAGGAGACATCAACGAGGAGGAGATTATGGTATCTTTTGACGTCACAGCTCTTTTTCCCAGCGTACCGGTCAAGGAAGCAATCAACTATTTGGAGGACTGGTTATTGACATAACGAGAGGTTGCAGCATGGAGAAACAAGATTCGGCCGTACCATAAGCTGCCCCGCCTTTGTATAGAAGAGAACTACTTCTCTTTCCGAGGCAACTCCATCTTCCTGTGTGTGAAGCCCTTCCCCAAATTGTAGATGAGTTCAACAGAATTCACAAGGATAATAAATTCACTCACGAGATAGAAAAAGACGGAAAACTCGCATTTCTCGATCTTCTAGTCATCAGTGAATCATCACCTTCTTCGGCCGCCTTCCATCACATGATTCACTGGATGCAGACTCTTCCACTCAGCGAAACAGGAAAGGTTAAGGAAATGCAGTACATCTTCGAAAGAGCTAGACTCAACGGATACAAGGAGATCACAATCCAGGCAATCATTGATAAAAAAGCGAGAATTATTTAAAGGAGATTATTTACAACTCTCACCGCAGCACCTGAACCATTGAAACGAGTGTCCGTTCCATTTGATCAAGATATTACTAGTAAGCTAAGACCGCAGTTAAAGCAATTCGGATTAGATTTAGTTTTCACCAGTAGACATAACCAATTAAAATCATTGTTAGGATCCACTAAAGCCCCAGTTAATGTTTTAGGTAAAGCAGGTGTGTATAAAATAAGCTGTAATCGTTGTAACAAAGTATATTTACTACGTACCAAGAGAACTTTAGCAACTACATTTAAAGATCATATAGTGGAGGTTAATAAGGCCAAAAAGCAAGAGGAAAAAAGCCTAACATATGAAATCAAAGGTTGCAGAACATATCTTCACAGAGGACTACCAACTTTTTTTTGAACCACCACCAACTATCGACGGAAGAAATCTTCTTTCTCTCTATTTATAAATTCAGAGATGTTTTTTGGCGAGTCCTAAAAAACCAATCCAGTTTCCTACAACTTTGTCTCAAACGTCATTTCGATTAGTTGAGCCGTTTTCCGAAGCCGGTGGTTTATTGAAATATATTGAATACGCCATTTTGAAGAATAAGGCTCGAGTAAAAATGGTCAAATTCCAGAGTAAACTGAGAGGTAAAAGCTAAAATTTGTATAGCATTTTAGAGGAGTTAGACATTTCTTAGGTTATTCAAATAAAAGATTTGAATTGTTCACAATTAATGCTTAAAAATATATATTTTTGATTCAAATTTGAACAGATCTGTTGATCGATTGCAATTAACTTTCGTACTTAGACCATTTATACAGATTTAATAAAGTAACACCCAAGCGGGGAAAGACGGACATGTTAAATTAGTTTGAGACAAAGATTGATTGATCCTCCAGCAGTTGCAACGCTTTCACTGCCATGAGCCAACAGCACTCACCATCAACACGCCAACTGATCATCGCAACCCGACAAAATAATGCCTGCAAAGGTCGAGACACTTATCCGCTTCAATCCCCGAAAACACAAAAAAAAAAAATAACTAAACGTTAATCATCAACTTTTACAAACCCCAAAAAAAAAAGCTCATCCAAAACTAATTTTGCTTCCCTCCGATGTTCAAATCATTAACTGTGCCATCGCCGTTCCGTGCGCAGCTGATCACAATCTGCTGCTACCGTCTTACCCACCCTCCGAGCACGGTAAATCCGAAACAACCCCATGGAACGAGCTGCAGCACTGGCATTCAGTTTCCAAACAATTTGCTATAAATATTAGAAGAAAGTTTCACTCTTCTTTCTTTGCCTTTGCCAGCGTTCGTTTCGTGCGCCAAGTTCGTCACACTCTCTATCTCTCGGGCGCGAGCGCGCGTTTTCCGTCCGGCACCTTCACCACCGCGCCCACGTGTCCGTGCTGGCAATGGCCTACGTCCGCCGCAACCTGAAAGCGATCCCACCAAAAGCATTTACCTGGTCTATGTTGTGATGTTCGTTCATCTGGTGCAGCAGTTTCTGGTTCAGGTTCTTCAGATTTGCATTGCCACCACCCTCGTACATGCTGTCCTTATCGTTCGGATAATCGTCGTAATCCGTGTCCCGGTCTGTACTGCTGATCGCACTGCTATTACTGTGCAGGGGCGCTCCGTTCTGTGTGCTGTTGGCAGCCGCTAGCAGGGCGTTGAAATTTGCATGCGACGACGGTCCGTTGGTCATCTTGGGCCCATTGGTACTGCTGACGTGGCTCGTGGGGCTACTGTTTAGACTGCTGGTTTCCATGCTACCATTGTTGCTGGCCGCACTGCTCAAGTGCACGGAGGAAGCGCTGTGGCTTAAGCTTTCTATTAGCTGCTTCTCCTTTTCCCTGTAGCTGGGGCCATTGTTGTTGTTGTTGTTGCTACTGTTGTTGTTGTTGTTGTTCATGTTACCATTTGTGTTGGCGGTGATATTGTTGTTATTATTGTTGTTGTTGTTATTGTTGTTATTGTTGTTGTTATTGTTGTTATTGTTGTTGTTATTGTTGTTGTTGTTGTTGTTGTTCTTTTCCTTCCGACTGTTGCTGCTACTCCGTTCTGAAACGTTGCTGAACTGACTGAGAACGATCTCCCGCTTGAACTGATCCAGTTTGGAGTCTCCACTGCCCAGATGGTCCTCGATGATGTCCGAGATGTCTAGCATGCTGCCACCGCTGTGACCGTGGATCAGTTCGTTCTTGATTTTCTGTTGACTAGCGGCGTTGGCAGCGGCGGCTGAGGCGGCCGCGGCAGCAGCAATGGCCACCGCAGCCGTCGAGTTCATGATTTCGTCGTCGAACTGGGCATCGTCCAGCGTGTCCGTATCGAACCGCTTGGTCGACGAAAACAGACGCAGGGTCGGATCGTTCACCTGATCGCTGAAGTATACGTCCATCAGGTTGAAGAAGGGCCACTCGCGACGCTTCGGTTCCTCTGACATTTTGATGGCCTGCGGAGAAGAGATAGAGAAGAAAAAGGAAACATAAGTTTTTTTTTTGAATTTCTGAACAAAACGCATCTGGAAATTGCTTCGTGTAATTAAATCAATTTAAACCCGTTTCACATTCTTCCCGCAGCAGCGTTGTTTTCGGCGACGCATAAAAATCGATAAAAAACGTGTCGACCTTCCACTTGGTTGTCGAAAATTAACCACCCGGGCACTTAATTCAGTGGACACCGAACGAAAGAATAACCAGCGACGAACCCCCTCTGGCCCCAGAGAAACAAGTGACCCACTTTCCGGCTGTCTCTACCACCACGACACAGATTCTCACTGCCCTGCTGCACCAGCCACTGATGGCGGCTCTTGAGAATCCGTTATTTTCCCCAAGAACGCAAAACCAGCCGACCTACTTCTGGCCTACTGCGGTGGTTCCATAGGTGCATAGCTGACAACAACCAGAAAGTCGTCTACTCAGATACCGCGCCGTGGTGAAAACTTGCCACGCGAGAAAGCCAGCTTCCCATGCATAAAATTTCATCTTCATGGGAGAGTTGCATTCCTAAAGGGCCGGAGGTTGGATGGTAAGATGAGACAAAACAACGACAAGATAAATAATGCTCGCTTTGTATATCAACGGGACGGGTGAGTGGGGAAGAGCGGGTGTGTGCGGTCTTTTAAATTATGTCTGCTGCGCGATGCGATGATAAAAAGCGAACGCGAGATGCTAGATGGCAGTACAGTGCAGTGCAAGAATGGGAGGGGTAACAGCTGTCAAAATGTACCCGAGCGTGGATGAGAAAAGGAACACCGGAGAATGCCCGTGAGTGTAAACAAAAACAATGGGGATGCTGAGGGAGAGCGGGCTGATATGAGAATTATTTTCATTTGTTGCCAAGCTTGATTGGCTTTTATTTCGATCGTTGCTTTACCCGGCCTTTTGCGTCTGGTCGTAATTTAGATTTCTTGGTCTTCTGCATCTTCATCCCGCCGCCGCCACCCCGGCGCAGCCTACTTGGTAATATTTTTTTCGGGGAAACTGGGTGAACATCAAGTAGATATGCTGGAGCGAGCTTGTTATTTTTGGCTAAGAATGTGGGCCAACTTGGCTGAGTCGTGCAACGGTACTGGTCATCATCTCGGCGTGTATCTTTTTGTGCTTCTTTCCGGATCTCCGGGCCATCAGAAGCTCGAAAATGGTGGGAAAAGCCCCGGAACAAGAGGAAACGATCGTTAGCCTATTCTTTCCGAAGGTTGAAGGGAGTCAAGGGTTGTCGGCGGGGTAATATTTCCTGACCGGCAGCGGATTGCGAAATTAGAAGATGGAAAGTGAAGAAAGCCATCAATTTCGAGTTGATGCCTCGCCTAATCGATTGGTGCTACTCAAGAAGCGGCCTGAAGATCGACGATAATTGATTGACCTGTTGGTGCACAAGGGAAGGATGTAAACCTGTAATCAGTGGTTTTTGTTGTTGTTGGAAATCCCCTTAGCGTTTGGCGTTGAGTACTCATTTTGAAAATCCGTTCGGTGTTCGTAGATCAAGATATTCGATATGGAAAATCTTTCCATGACAATTGCCAATCAATCAACTATCGTTACCTTCAGCAATCATAAAGCTTAAGGCGAGCAAACAGAAGAGAGAATAAGAAACTATCCGATATCTAGGTGAACTAGCTAGCTTCCAAGCCGTTACATTTCCTTCGCGCCATCTTCTCCTTCCTGCAGGTAGCGAAGGCGTTCTGGACTCGTTCCCAGCTCATCTTCTGGCGCACACACACACTCTCTCACAAAGCTACAACCCATCCCCGCTCCTATTTATCCGCATCTATCCATCCGGAGCTTACGAGAAATACAGTTTGGGGCCTTGACGGCTTTCGGTACTGATTGTAAGGTTGGATGGCTTTGCTACCCAGCCATCCAAGCAGGCCGAGAGATCCGTTAGAAGGCATGGTAGTAGGCTCTTCGTTCCATCCCTCCAGGCAGCCAACCAGCCAGCCAGTTGCAGGGCTTGCAAGTCGAGCATAAAGTAGGCTGAGTTTTTTAGAATCGAAATGAATGATCTCCGGTTTCCTTCTTTCTTCTGGCGTTCGTTCCCGGTCGTCGGTGTGTTGTGTAGGTACCTGCGCGAGGACGCTGCTGCTGCTGCTGGTACATGGTTGGTTAGATCGCGCTGCCGTTTGGAAATTGGGTCAGTGGTTCTTACTGTTTCTTGGAGTTTTTTTTTCTCTCTCTGTCTTTCCATTTCTTCTCGCTTTTTATGGGTCTTTCTTGGCATTTATTCTTTGGTTGGGCTTCTTTCGTGTGTCTTCCTTGTATATACGGTGTAGAGTGTGTATGTGATTGGATTCACAATGAGATCTGAGAAAATGTGTGTCTGAACGTGTTCTTGAGATAGGCCCGCTGTGACAAGTGCCATTATGTTTTTTGAATGATTATTCGGGACAGGTCGGATATGTTCGGCAAATGAGTTCAGTGGGTATGTATTGCAACTAGATGTTCGTACTGGATGCATCAGAGAAATGTGTATTGAAGTAGAAAGCATTTTTAGACTTTGATTTAAATAAGTGTGGAATATGTGGCTATCTAGCGGCGTAACCGCAGGTAAGAATGCATGTCATAATTAGGCTGCGGTTGTCATTTTTAGTAGGTTTTTTCGCTGGACTAGTTGACCTTTACCTGTGAAAGTTTGAACGAATGTATTGCACATTTTGCACCACAAAGGACTCCTGTGCAAACCATAGTTGCACGGTAATATTTTCGCACAGAACAGCAAATTTCAAAATTGACTTATTTGAAAGCAGTAGCAGCTTTTGAACAGTACTGGCAAGCTACTCTAATTAATTTGAGGTCTATAAAACGTTAAGAAGCTCAAATTTTATGACCAGAGCGAAAATATTACTGCGCACTTATTTTTATCGCAGTAATCTAATCAGGTGAGAAATCGGCAATATGAACGATACAGCATTTGTTCACCTATTCGAGTGTCCAGAAAACTTCCAAAGTAGTATGCGTTGCCATGGTAGTTTGTTATACGAAGAAATTTTATCTTGAAGTGCAGCCATTAGGGTGCTTCAAAATATCGGTTTTGCTCTACCTGATCATTCTCCCAAAATTTTAGATCCTTTGGATGCGAACTAGTACTGCACTGGTCCTGAAATTTGAATGGGAATTTCTATGGGAAAATTTATCTGTTGCTACTCATCGTTCTAAGCCCTTTGTCATAATAATATGCGGAAATGTTTGCTATCAGTACTTATGCTAAATTTTCTCAGCTACAACTTTGCTCAAGACCACTTTTCCATTGGACGGCATGAAAATTAGTCATTAATTTCTGATATGATTAATCGGCTGTTTCAGGGCAACACTGCACGTTTCACCATAACATAATAGCCTGGATTTGTTTGCCCTATTCATCGCGCCAGGTAAACCAATGTTGCATGTTGAGCAGTTGATGGAGCATGTCACAAGAACATCATCTTCCTAATTAAGTAGCAACAAATTATCCTGACGTTCAATTAAAATGTGGTGTTCAGGAAAATTGCACATAAGTGCATATAGCAAACTATTTCGTAAATCATGTTGACGAAGTACTAGAACGATGAGTACGAAAAGTTATCTTTCCCATATAAACTTCAAAGGGCCAGTGCAGTACGAATTCGCATTCTGTTTTGAAATTTGATATTTTGACAGACTCCATAGTTATACCCTAGAGGTAACTCTAAGACCACTGGGTCCCGAAGAAAATCATTATTAATTTTGGCTCACTCAGTACCAGAACAACGGTCTCAAGCAGTCCCAAGCTATTTCACTCACCCCTGCATGTTCTGCATGAATCCACACACCCTCGATGTTATCTGTCAAACTTTCATAGCGAATCAAAACAAACATAGTGTAGTAATAGAATTTCAACTAGAATAGGGTACGTTAATCGTTTGCTTGGGACCAATAGGCTACTAAAGTGGTGAGCCAATTTAAAATCGTTAGTTTCGTATTGATTGTTGGTTATACCATAGAGGTAACTCTAAGACTAGAAGGTCCCGAAATAACGTGCTCAACTTTTTGGCTCAGCTCTGGTACTCTCTTTGATCCCAAGCTAATCGATTCACCCCTCGGAACATAGGAAAAACCAATAACCCCTCATTTTATCTGTCAAACTTTCATAGCGAATCAAAACAAACATTGCGTACTACTAGAATTTCGACTAGAATGGGGTACGTTAATCGTTTGCTTGGGACTCATAGGCTAGTCAAGTAGTGAGCCAATTTAAAATCGTTAGTTTCGTATTGATTGTTGGTTATACCATAGAGGTAACTCTAAAGGCCCACACACATTAGATCCGGATCGGACGCGTTGCGGCAAGGTGACAGCTAAATCTATTGTTTAACTGTCAAATTAACGTCAACGCCACGCAAACGGATCTAATGTGGGTGCCCCTTAAGACCGGAAGGTCCCGCAGAAACGTGCTCAACTTTTTGGCTCAGCTATGGTACTATCTTCGGTCCCAAGCTAATCGATGCACCCCTCGAAACATAGGAAAATCCACGAACCCCTTATTTTATCTGTCAAACTTGCATAACGAATCAAAACAAACATAGTGTAGTACTAGAATTTCGACCAGAATACTAGAAGGGGTACGCTTATAGATGTACAGGAGAGCAATAGGCTAGTCAAGTAGAGAGCCAATTTAAAATCGTTAGTTTCCACCGGTTTGTTATACACCGATGCACACCGCCGCCACCGATCAAAGCCAACGGCGTTCCGCCACCACGCCACCACCATCGCCGAGGCAAAAAAAGGTTTCTACGCCGCCGCCACCGATAAAAGGACCGGCACACAGATTGATTGATTTTGACTGTGTAGACTAAACCAGTAACGCTGGTTGATCACCTTTTCGTGGTGCGTTACTGGTATAAGATCTATCAACGAACCCTAGTCCTGACAATTTCAAACTAGGGAAACAGGATTTATAAGTAATCAAAGGAACACACTTTAGTCTTTGTTACTTTTT